TGAAAGCCAATGATATAAAAGATTGACTCGCACCCGAGTCAAATAACACCAAAGCAGGTACAGAATTCACAAGAAAAGAACCTACGTATATCAGAATATAAGCTTAGAATTTTAAACATTAAATAATTACATGAAAGAGTACATACCACCCACGACTTCGGGCGTTGTGCAGACCTCCTCTGCGTTCAACTGGAAGGCTCTCCCTCGCGCCTTCGGTACCTCGACCTTCACTGCCGGCTCTCAGTAGCTCTAATAGCAGCAGGGGCAGATCCCTGTGATGCTCCCTGGGTAGTCCCTCACAACAGCGGACACTCTACCTTCCGGTGTCTGGTCTGGTTGTAGTGAAAACATACTGCAAACCCCTTTGGGCAGTCCTCAGCCATATACCCCTCCTTGTCACACTTATAGCAAGATACGGCTGTAGAAACTCCATCATGACCCTTGCCGCACTTCCCACAGGTGCGGCCCTTCTGGCTCCCTGCTTTGGGATCAGCGGGCTTGGTCCGCTTGGTTGCCGACTGAGACTGTGCCAGTCGTCGATCCCTCTCCTGAGACTCCGCCTCCTCCCTCGCATGAGTCTCTAGCTCGATCTCCCTCTTTCGAGCATTTTCCTGAAGCTCGGAAAATGTCCGGTATGAGGATTTCGCCACAAACTCCGGAATGTCTCTCCTCAAAATACTCAAGTAACGGCTCATCCGTGCCTGCTCAGTAGACACGTGCTTAGGGCAGAACATTGCCCTCTCACGAAACATCCTGGTAATAGCCGTAACAGACTCCGTACCCTGCTTGAGGGTCAAAAACTCCTGTGCCAACCGATCTCGTTCCACTAAGGGAACATACTCATCACAAAACATGGTGGTGAACCTCTCCCAGGTCACCGCAGCAAGCTCTGCTGGAGAATAGTGTGTTGTCGCGAACTTCCTCCAGTCCTTCGCCCCTAGGCGAAGCTGGTTCAGCGCAAACCAAACCCTCAAGTGCTCCGGATACAAGCAAGTATAGAAACATCCCTCAATGTCAGACACCCATCTCGTCGCTGCAATCGGATCCTGCATCCCCTCGAGCTCTGGAGGCTTCGTGTTGCTGAACTCCCTGAACAACAATGAGTCACCCCCTTGCGACCTAGCAGCAGCGACAGTTGCAGTGGCCACTGCGACAGCAGCATCAGAAGGAGTGGCATAACACTCATCAGAAGTCTCAATCAGCATGGTCTTAATAGACCCAAACATCTCTGGTATCTCTGCCCTGATGGCCGTAGCCACTTCCTCATGGATGATCTGGTGGATCTCCTCATCACTAGCCTCGCTGCTCCCTGGCATAAGTCGTGTCCTCACCATGATCTACCTCTGAAATACAACATACGATATATTATAAATTCATTCGAGCGTACTTGCACTCGATAACCCATCCCTCCTTGATCTCTGGCACCCCGAAGATTCTTACTTGAGTTGTACACCGCCCCGGTGTTTTCAGTAGTACGAGCCCAATACTACTATCTGCACCGTATCAGTGTACACCCCAAGTCCTCCTCTTAGGATCCCAAGTCCCAAGTACCCTATTATGCATAATCCACTCTCTATAGATCTCTCATAGCTCCTCACTGCTACCTACTCACTCTCAAGCATCTCATAGCAGCTTACCTTCCCCTAGGCTAAGGCATCACAAATCAGGCCACCCTAGTCCTAATAGGAATACCTAGCCCTCTCTAGCAACAGAATACATCATATCAATCACATAAACATATAACATAAGGGTATTTTGGGAAATCACCATTTGGGCACTGACTGATCGTACATACGTCTCTGCTATGTGTTTCTCTAAAAGTCTTTTACTTCTTTTAGAAAACTTGGTTCTCCTTTGAAAATATTTTCCAAATCCTCAGTTTGAGTTCAAATACTCCCGAAGGTGTACCCGAATCCCTCAAACCAAGGCTCTAATACCAAATAGTAACACCATAAATTTCCAAAACAATTTTTCGCATTTATTAAAACATAATTCATTTGTAAATCATAAAAACATCATTGTTTGATACTCAATTTATAACATATAAAAATCCCAAGATCTCATATCATAAAAATCCCGTGTGTGTACTGATCAAGCCGGCGCCTTCCCGCAATCCCCACTAGTACCTTAAACATATAACACAAAATACTGTAAGCACAAAGCTTAGCGAGTTCCCCAAAATGCCACATATAACACATATTAGCCACTCGAGGCTATAACTCTGTGGGTCTGTGCACCCAAAACTCTGTGAACCCTCAAGTTCTAACTCTGCAAGCATGCACAGCATAAATCACATAGAAGAATGCAGTGCAACAAATAATATATATAAAACACTGTATCACATAACTCTATTTACCTACTCAACATTAAGTATAGTGAGAAGACTCACCTCGCGTATCTCAGTAACTCGTAAATCCCTGAAATCAGTAGTGCTCGATCTCCCGAGCTATAGTCCTCCTATAACACAATACATCTCTAATTAACACTTTCCCAACTAAGGTTGACTAACCCTATCAAGTCAACACTGGTCAACTCTGGTCAATGGTCAACGGTCAACCCAACTCGCCGAGTCTGGCGTGGACTCCCCGAGTATCTACGGGGACCTAATTCCTCTGAGACCCTTCCGACTCACCGAGTTACTCACCCAACTCGGTTACTAAATCGCTGGTTCGAAATCCCTGAACAACCCGCACCAACTCGTCGAGTCTCCCAATGGAATTGGCGAGTGCATTCCATGCACAACCCCAAACGACCTTCTGAGGTCAGATCTGTTCCACTAACTCATAGATCTAGTCCTTCCAAGATTATTTATCACGTAAAGTTCATGTCTTGGCGCTCATATCACACCTAATGACTCATAAATGGTGTTTTGACCTCAAGCACAAAGATCCCAAACCAAAACCTCCATGGATTCATAAAAAGCTTGGACAAAGGGCCACTCTGGACCCCCAAGGGTCCAGATCCAAAACCTAACTCGCTTAAGGGACCAAAGGAGCACTAGATCTAGCCACAAAAGGGCTCAATAAGCCCTAAATCAACATGAACATCACCTCAACAGAAAAGGGTTCGAAAATGGTACCTCAAACGTGATGTTCTGGACCTCAGATCTTCAGGAAGTTAACCCTCTTGCTTCCTCTTGGCTATAGCTTCCTTTCCCTTGCTAGACAACACCACCAAGATTAACAATGGCTCCTTCTCTCACTCCAAACGCACAAGCTCACTAGGGTTTCGCTCTGGGGACTGGTGAGCACAATAACGGCCATAAGGCCCTTTAAATAGGCCCCAAACCCAAGAAATTAGGGTTTCATTAAACAGCGCGGATTCGCCGTGTCCACCAATGCTACTCGTCGATTCTGGTCATTAATCCGGATTAGAAATCGCATCTCTACTCAGCGAGTCTATGCACCAACTCGCCGAGTTCTTCCACAAAACTCAAAATAAAATGAATAAATATAATACCTAAAATTCCGGATGTTACAATTTATCAAGTACACGTATTCATTATCTTCATTGTCTCTTGCTTATGTTGTTCATCATTTACTCACTTATGTTTAAATGCATACCTTGTTAAGATTCAACTAAGTAGTCTTACTTGTTTATGTTTATTGATTAATCTTATTGCTATATATATGTATGTATGTATGTATATATGTATGTATGTATGTATATATATATATATATGTGTGTGTGTGTGTGTGTGTGTGTGTATATATATATATATATATATATATATTTACTAATTTATCTTTTTTCTATATATATATATATATATATATATATATATATATATATATATATATATATATATATATATATATCTTTATCATTCCATATATTTCTTTATTGGTGAGCTTATCAAAAGATCCATTAAGATTAACTTACATTTCTACAAATCAATCTAAAGTTCTTCTCTCAAAATGATGAGAGTGATCTTGATGAAGAACAAGCCGATAATCCAATTTCTAGATATGATTACAGGGCTTTGAGCATGAAAATAAACATGTTTGTGCATCATTCCGAGGTGTTCTCTACGTGAAAAGTTGAGAATATGATGCATGCTCATTAGGGTACTATGAACACCTTATTTTCAGAGAGAAAAAGTTTAGCTGAGGGGTATGAGAAACTTGTTAATGAAACACTGCGAAAATGGATGTTGTAGTAAATGAAATCAAATATCTCAAGACTATGATGCTTGCCGACAACACCACTCATAATGTGAAATATACAGAATCTTTGAATACTCTGGTCTCACATTACGACATTGAATAAAAGTTGGCCAATATAATTATTATAAAAGAAAAAAAAATTACTTCCTTAAGGAGAAAATAATGAATGTCAAAAATGAGCTTGAAAAGAAATAAGATGAATTGCTACTTATCAAAGGTCACAACTTTCAGAACAATCAAAGGTTTCTGAAGATTACTAAAAATAATGAAACTATATATATTAACTATATGTCCAAGCTTTAAGATGTGAAGCTTAAACCTTTTTTGTCATCTGGAAGTGGTTTTGTGAATAGTGGAGCTATTACACAACAAGGAGGAGATGGAGAGCCTATTCAAACTCAAAATCCAAATCAATCTTGAAATATGGAAAAGATGCATGAAACTACAAAGAAGGTTTTTATTGGAAGTTAGCCAATGATGAAGCAATAGGAAGGAATTAAATTAATGATTCCAATTGCTAATTCAAATACTCAAGTTATCAGTTCTAGATCTTCTTTGGTACAAATTGTTAATCAACAAGAAATAAATCCAGATGATGTTAAAGTCGAAAAGGAAGGTTAGAAAAACAAAGCTAAAGAGCTTGAAAGGATGAAGCAGCTTCAGATTAAGCTTGATAAACAAGAGGCTAAAAAAGAATATGAAGCTACAGAAGCAACTTTGAAAGCTTTTTGGCCATAATGGAACGTTGATCGAATCTTGAAAGAGGCCTTAAGAATGTGGAGATTTACTGGCTTAATCCAATATCATCTTTTTATCTGGAGAATAAAAGTAATAATGAATTCGGTTTTCCTTACACTGCGAAGGCATTCATATTCAGGAGCTTCTCTAAGTTGCTCTGAACAAGCTCTTCAAATTTTATGCCTCATAGTCAAGGCCACACAATATGAACTGTTGAGTTTGAAGAAGATCACAACGGTGAAAAATTGTGAAGCAATTGAGGTAGATGGATTTATGAACTACAGATTCAAGATAGTAAGAGGAAATAATAATAAAGAATTTGAATTCACATTTGTTGATTTGCCTTTGATGAATCCAAATGATTGGATTGTTCAGTTCAACATTTTGTTAACAGAAAAGACAAACTATGCAAATCAACTATATCACTTAAAGAAGATGATTATATCATATCTCATGGAGTTTTGTAATGTGGATGTGGAGGTGGCTAGTGTATTTCAGAAGAATACAACTATGAAACCATCTAAGTAACCAGATAATGTCGAGCAGATGTGAGATGGTATAATCCAAGATAAGCCTTGAGGAGTTGTATATAAAGTACATGAGAGCAGAACGGTGAAGAATTATATGATGTTCTTATAGGACAAGCATTATTATACATTTTCTACATTGATCGGAATTATAAATAAAGCACAAATATGAAAGGAAAAACAAAAAGATTGACATCATCGTAAAATCTATATAGTTATTCTTGGTACCATTCCACATGTTTTTGATGAAGCCAAGTGAAGACAAATTTTATGCCTCAACACAAAGGGCAAGATTTTTAGATCTCGCATATTGATACTTCTATTGAGTATCTAAGCTATCAATTGCGCGCTATAGCGGTGCTATAGTGACGCTATAGCGTTTTGCGGAGATCAGGAACCGTTATTTTCAACTTAGCGTTTTCATTTCGTGGTACCGCTATTAGCGGCGCTATTCACCGCTATTTACCGCTATTTCAATAACCGCTATAGCGGCGCTATGGGCGCTATTCCATTTTCGTTCACATTTAGGGTCATTTTGTTACTTTGTCAATGAAAAACTAGTTTTAATGAGCTCACTACACTTTCATTTAAAAATACCCAAACAACTAACATAATTAAAAACATTCAAAGCAACTACATCTACCGACAACTCTCTTTCTCATCTTTTTCTGTACTCACGACGACTTTAGCTGCTATGATCAAACTCCATTAATGCTTTTTGTAATCGAAACACACCTATGAGGCTACAAATTGGGAATTAAACCTTTATATCAACAATGACCTACTAATACGATATTGAACACGGGCAATACAATTAATCTCTATTTGACACTTTGACACTACGTAGTTTCCTTATTACCATAATAGAATATTATGTTATGTTTTTATATGACTTTTTAGGTTTATGATATCAATTCTATATAGAGTTATAGTATTAATACTCAAATATATATAACTTCTATATAAATATAATATAAAATTATAAATTATACATAATATTAAAAAAGCGCTATATCACCGCTATACCACCGCGATAACCGCGATCTCAAATAGCGGCATGTGACCGCTATTGAAATTTTGACCGCGATAACTGCATAGTTGAGTATGTATGCGATAGGTCTTGCAATTTGTATCATGTTTCTTTAAATTGTATATGCGAATTGTTGTTTGATTTCGCATGTTTTGGTCAAGTAGTTAATTGTCTAGGATTCGTAGCTTCAGTTAATTTCTTTTGACAGACTGTCTTAGCTTAGTGTCATGACCTTTTTGGTCATGTTCTAACCAACTTCCTTCTGTGTCCTATATAAAGGTAGTTCATTAGAGAGAGAGAGGGGGTATATTTTGAGAGGTTCTTACGTTTAATAGCTGTAATCAAGCTTCTTACTCTCTAATCAAATTCAAATCTTATTTACATTCTTGTTCATCCAATATCAAGACACATCATGATTTCTTTCTTATAGAACTTATTCGATCTTACAATGAGAGCCTTCATGCTCTCAACCATCAAGAGAGAAAGGAGGAGAGAATAATGTTTAAAACAACTAACTCACGTTTAGATCTTTTCTCTTCATAATGTATCAAGAAAAATTGTACAAAAGAGCCATACCTCCCACAAAGTCAAACAATTAAACTCATAAGGTATGGGATGTGACATGTTTAACCAAACAATCAATCTCTCCCATCAAGAAGGATGGTATGGTTTTAACCAATATTGGTCAATCTGGTTTGGTCTTCCACTTAGCTTCTAACTTACTAGTTTCATGTCTAACTAGATAATTCTTAAAGAGTCCATTTAACTTGTACATGACTTATATATATATATATATATATATATATATATATATATATATATATATATATATATATTCATACAATATGAATATATCAATTTTTTTCACTTTTATTATTATTTCCTAGAAACAATAATTCCAAATATGTTGGTAACATATTATGTTTCATAAAATAATGTTTTTCCAATTAAGTACAAGTGTTGATTATATTTACTAATAATTAAATTATATTAATAAATAATTAATTAGTAGTAAATTGTTATATGGTCTGACCCTATAGGATCATTTGTCATTAGCAATATCATTCTAAAATGACTCTTGGTTATAAATATTTTTCACAAATATCTCTTGAGGGAGGGTCCTAAGTTACACAAGATCACATGGTACATACTCTGTAAGTAACATCACATTTGATAGTTAGTTAAATGTGAAGAAATCATAGCCAATTGAGTAATAGAAAAAAAAAAACCTTGTCGATCCCTTCACTAAGCCAAAGATATTGATAAGTATGATAATCACACAAAGTCATAAGGCATTAGATTTGAAAATAAGTTAGCTTGAACACTATTATTTATGTTGTTTTTAGCTTGGGAATTGAAGCAATATAAGTCTTTATTTGATTTAATGATTATTACGTGGATAACTTACTATATAATGGAGATCAGTCATTTCGTTAGTTTATCACTATGTTCCTTATTTTCATGTTTAGAACCACTTCGAACTATTAGTTTATTCGAACTTCCATATTCGATCCTACTTTTGGAAGTAAGTAGTGATTTAATATTATACTGGAGCATTGGTAGATTGGCTATGGAGATGGAGATACCATAATATTACGACCAATACTCATGAGCACTTTAAGTGGAGATTTTAAGGTATTGGAGTAACCCTCACTTAGAGATTTATTTGGATTCTATCACAAGTAATTCTAAGATGATAATATCATAGATTCTTCAAATGGTGATGCATGAGGTTTTGTCCTACAATCTGTTGTGTCTTGTTTTTTTTCCCTAATGTTGTTTGTAATTGGCAACCATACAGGGATTGACCAAATATGACATGATGAATATGTGGAATATATGTAGTCGAATTTTATTTGTTCCTTCTTCTTTAAAAATAGAATTTGATATCTTTAGGTCCCTCAATGATTTTGTGTTGACATCAAAATGCATTGCCACGTGCAAAATAAATAGATATAAGGTCAATTAATCAGTTCATTTTTGGTTGACACAAGTCACTATAGGGAAACACATTCTTGAATGTTTGATAATGACATCTTTCCTTTTCTCACGTTCATATAGATATCTCAATGAGCAAATAAATATTTTATCGCTTATGTAAGGGTTGTATCACGACTTTAAGTTGTGAGCACAACATGTAGATTGGATTGTATACTCTCTATTCATTACTATTGAATATTGGACCATATGGTGTTAGTGACTTGTGTAAGTAGGAACTGATGGAATATCGTGCCCACGGTCCCTATAAGGAACTGATGACATGACATAATTGTAGGGACCCGATATGTTAATTAGTTAAGTAACTATTTAGTTAAATGAAATCTAGTGATCTAGAAGGTTCTAGATAAAGGAATCTGATAGTTGGATAATTACCATAAATATGGATAATTATATTCTGAGGATATTTATCCTTCATGGGTTAATCCTTCTATATAAATAGAGGGGTCGTACACCAAACATGGTGCATGAATTATCTCTAAAAAAACCATAGTAGTTGGTTGTTAACTTGCAATATCAAAATCCTATCTTTTTCGCTTCCATGCGACTCGTAGAGAATCTACTCGGCAAGTAGGTGTTGATTTTGTGTTCTATTTCGCATTCAGTGTGTTCATCCATAGGTTAAAGTCAGATGATGTTCGTCTATTCCTTAGGTGCGACTATGAAAGTGGAGTTCTCCATTAGGCTCTTAGCACTAGTTATTTGATCAAGATTTGCGAAGGTTTCATGACTATATATGCATTCTATTTTCCTTTTCTTTAATTTAAGTTTCATACATAGGCATAGATCCTTGGCTAGCTTATTTTGTATCTTACTTTGTGCACCTTTGTGGCCTTTAAGAATCCCTATAACCCAACAAAGGATTCAATCAAACTCATTGTATTAACTCTTGGGAAACCTTTTCACCGGTCACTATGATTAAATAAATTAGGAAACTATTTCCATAGTTACATATTTTGCTAATGATATATAGAAAATGGATGTCAAAACCTCTATTCTAACTGGACATTTGAAAGAGGTCTATACGGTTAAGGTTGAAGGTTTTATTGATCAAACCATCATGATAAAGTGTGTAAGTTGAAGAGATGGATTTATGTGTTAAAAAAGCATCACAAAATTGCAATCATTATTTATATAATGAAATCACAAAGTATGGATTCATCAAAACCAAAAATGAATCTTGTGTTCATAAGAAAACTAGTAGGAACATGATCATTATCCTAGTTTGGATGAAATAATTATCACGGGAAATCATATTATGAATTTTCATGGTGTAAATTCTTAGGTTGGAAAGTGTTTCTAAATCAAGGATCCACGAGAAGTAGCATAAATTGTTGGTATAAAGATCTATAGATATATACAAAAAAAAAAGATATTTAAGCAATTAAATGGTATATATTTCAAAAATAAAATTTAAAAATAGAATTTTCAAATAAATATACTCTTGAAGCAAATTCATATTTTTTATAAATAAACACAATTAAAAAAAATGTGCGTATACACATGCGCACAATTTTTTTATGTCTTTTTGCAATCATACTAAGAAAATCTCTCTTAGATATGCATATGCACATGCACATATGAAGGTGTCAAAACTACATGTAGATGAAAATTTCAATGGTACACTCCTTCAAATATAGTTCGCGGGAAAATATGAGTTCACAAAAGATTCTGGCCATATATATATATATATATATATATATATATATATATATATATATATATATATATATATACACACACACACACACACACACATGATGATTAGTTTCATCTTGACAACCAGTATTAAATTGTCGATAAAGTGTTATCTTGTTATAGTTAAAAAAATATAATGTTAAGGACCTTATGGGCCCTTAAACTAATGTGAAACTTCAAGTTCTTTCATGATTTGCACAAGATTTAGATATAATCTATAACTCAAAGCTACACATTTGAAATGTTTTTAAAAGGAGTGAGAATAAAACATTACA